TCTCCCTCTCCCTCTCCCTCTCCCTCTCCCTCTCCCTCTCCCTCTTCCTCTCCTCCTCCTCCTCCTCCTCCCCCTCTACCACCACCACCACCACCACCACTTAACAACTGTCTCACTTAGGAACAGAAATGTTGGACTCAGTTGGTGGGGGAGGTAAGTCAAGGATTACCTGGCTTTGGAATGTGTGATCATATCCCCAGCTAGTCTGTTGATATTAATCTCAGTCCTACCAATTTCTCTTCATAGGACTCAGATTCTAGTCTAATTTCCTGGGCATGAAGGTTATGGGATTTGCAGCCCAGCATTTCTGAAAAATCATCTCGGTGGAGAAGGCACCCTTGGTGATTCAAGCAAGAAGAAAACATTCTGACCATTCCCAGTCAGGTATGAGTGATGACATCATTGGACCTTTTGTGAAGCTTTCCCCCTTCTTACAGATTCTGGAACCCAAAGAGAAAGGAAGCCATGGTGGAAACCATCCTAGAAACGTGGACAATTGTCTTGGTGATCCTTGCCACAGTGTTAATCATGACCATAATGACGTTTCTCCTTCCCGCTGTGGTATTGCTCTTGAGGATGAGGTCTTTGTCACAGATATCCTTAGATGGAACTGTCTAACCTGCCTCTTTACACAGTGCTGGGTGGTTTTTAAATGCTTTGGACTGCTTGGGAATTAAGACCAGGAAGAGGAAGCAATCTCCAAATCTGTGTGATGTCTCTCTTGGATGACTCCTCTGACTCTTCCTTGGGCTTGAGGGAGGATGAGCTCATTCCTGGCATGTCAGGAACTGGGATAATTAATGACTCTGAACAGCTGGTGGAAAGAGAGTTATAGGGGGCTTCAGCTGGGGACAGTTTGCAAGTCAGGGAAGAGGAGGAGCTGCCTTCTGTGTTAGAGAGCACGCAGGGCAGTGAAAAGACAAGCGCAAAGGAGATCTGCCAAATTACTCGGGAGAAGGCCCAGCCTGTCTTGATGGGCTGCACCGGAAAACCATTTATCATGTCAGGCAGAGGGAAGGCTGAGGGGAATCAAATCCTTCCTAACAGTAGCTATAAATATTGCATTTGTGTGTATGCATATAGATTATATATAGATGAATATGTAAATTTAATGCAGGAGAAACCATGTCCCCCCCCCCCCCAAAAAAAAAAATTCAATGTAAATATGAAACTTTTGCAATTAGGAAAAACATCAGAAGAAAGTGAGAGGTTGCAATGAACTTTTATGGTTTCAGTTCTTCACTCTGTCTTCCTATCACATAATGCGTGATCAGACTGTGGTTGGAAATGATTACAAAAAAGAAAAGAAAAGAGGAAATCCGCTGATGAGATTTGGATAGATTACTGATCAGAAAGAGTTTCCATTGTCCAGGCACTCAACAACAGTTAGAATAGAATAACAGAGTTGGAAGGGACCTTGGAGGTCTTCTAGTCCAACCCCCTGCCTAGGCAGGAAACCCATTTCAGAGAAATGGTTATCCAACATCTTTTTAAAAACTTCCAGTATTGGAGCAACCACAACTTTGGGAGGCAAGTTCTTCCACTGATTGATTGTTCTGTCAGGAAATTTCTCCTAGTTCTAAGTTTGATGATGGTTGTGTCCATAAAGTTTGCATGGACACAATACAGAAGTGGTTTGGCGTGGCCTTTTGGATTTTTCCCTGACTTCTATTAAAGACTATTCAAATTGCCTCCAGTTTTATCATTTCAGCATGGTTGTCTTTGGCTTTAGGATTACGGGATTGCAGATTTTTAGGATTACCAGTAGCAATATTCACCTTGGTGGATGACTAAAAACTAATCAAAGCCCACGATACTCCCAAACTGAGAGTTTACATGGCCCTAACTGTTCGTTTTACTTGACAATGGGTTGTGACAGAGGTTTTCTGGGATTTCCCCCCCTATCCTAGGCCATTAATTCTGCAGTCCTAGTTTTGTCTGGTGGTCTCATATTCCTATACTGACAAAACCAAATATATTCCATTCCCTGTGGCCCTGAATAGGTTTTTAAGCCTTCAGTTTGACCTCAGCTGCTGGTAGCTTCATGGACATCTTCACATAGTTATCATGGGCCAAAAAAAATCGAAGTGGTCTTCAACTCCCTTGTTCTAAGATGTTTCTTCAACAATCAAGGATCAGGATCAGGCATGCAGGAACGGATGGCTTACATATTAACATTTGCCACTAATTTACTCTGAGTAGTGGGATTTTAGTCTGTGGTTTGCTTTTTTTCCTCGAACCCTTCCTGTAATACTTCTCATCTGTCAACCAAAGGTGTCTTACTGTAAAGATAAAGAATTCTTTGACCTACATTCGACTTGTGCTGACTTTATAAATACATCTAATAAATAAGTAGAGAGGCCTGCATACTTTACTTTGGGTAGGATAAGTCTACTCTTGCCTTTTCCTTGGGCATGTTTACTTTTTACTTCCCAGTTCAACCTACAGCCTGGGATCTCCAAGTGTCACCCCCAAGTAGATCTGATCCTGCTTAGCTTTTTCCAAGGCCCACTTCAACAGAATAGATTAGCAGAGTTGGAAGACCTTGGAGATCTTCTAGTCTAACCCCCTGGCTCAAGCAGGAGACCCAACACCGTTCCGGACAAAGGACTGTCTAATCTCTGCTTAAAAACTTCCAGGGATGGAGCACCCACCACTTTTAGAGGCAGGTCTTTCCGCTGGTGAATTGTGCGTTTCAGTCTAGCCTTCGGCATCCATTAGGAAGTTCAAGGGCCAAAAACATTGCAACCACAATGCAAATTTTGTGACTCAGATAGTCGCATCCAAGGTCGGAGCACAAGTACAAAAGGGCAGAGTTTGCATTTTGACACCACAATGTCCACTTTGGAACATTTTCTCCATCACAGTTAGAAGCTGATGTCTTTACTGGAATCCCCGGCAACCTTTTTACTCAGGTATATGGCAGGTTTAACCAACCTCTGAGATGAGACAAGGTCAGCTTAGAGGTTTTTTTTTGTTTTTTTTTAAAGAACATATTTAGTTTGACCCAACCTCACTGAAAAGCAACTGTCCTTCCTAGAATTGTCCAAGCAGTTTTGCAGGTTGCAGTCCTATGTTCCTATGTTATTTTAAAACTTTTGGGTTGTCACACAGGAAGTGCAAATCAAGCAGGGGGTTGGACTAGAAGACCTCCAAAGGTTCCTTCCAACTCTGTGGTTGTCTTATTCTGTTAAAAACTTGACTAAAGGTTCCCCTTGCACGTCCGTGCTAGTCGTTTCCGGCTCTAGGGGGCGGTGCTCATCTCCGTCACAAAGCTGAAGAGCCAAGCCAGTGCTGTCTGAAGAGGTCTCCGTGGTCATGTGGCCGGCATGACTAAATGAAGGCGCACTTTGAAGGCGCACGGAACACTGTTACCTTCCCACCAAAGGGGTCCCTACTTTTCTACTTGCATTTTTTACATGCTTTTGAACTGCCGGGTTGGCAGAAGCTGCTGGGACAAGGAACGTTACACAGCGCTAGGGATTCGAACCGCCGAACTGTCGACCTTTCTGATCGACAAGCTCAGCGTCTTTGCCCCTGAGCCACCACCTCCCTTTAGTAACTTGACTAGGTGAACCCTAAACCAAGCTGGGCTATGCTGCCATCTCCTGGCCAAAGATCATGAGCGTAGCTGGTTTTGCAACAGATTTTATTTAAAAAGTCCTTCCGCTTCAGAGGGAGAGCCGCCGTACTTCATTTCATCAGATGTGTGGATGGAGTGAGAGGGAGCCCACAGACCTTGGTGCCTTTTGCACTTGTTGGCAGAAGAGGTTCTACCAGATTCCTGATTTCAGAAGAACCCAACACTCCTTCTGCAGGGTAATTCAAGAGGGTAAGCGATCTACCATCCGCTGAAATTGAAACTTTATTGAAATGTAATTAAAATTATGCACTTTAAATACATCGTAAAAGTGTCTTTTGCAGACTTTCTCTCTCTCTCTCTCTCTGAAAATCTCCCCCTGCCAGACAACTCTGATGGTCATGAAGTTCGGATATGCAAGAAATAACCTAAACATTAGAAACGGCAAACCATCAACGCCAAGAGAGATTTTTGCAAGCTACCCACAAGAGAAGGGGGAAAAAGGAAGCCTATTCCAAATTTTAAAAACAAAAGACCTGCCAAGGCACTGATAGGATTTTTTTTTCCAGGGCTGGGAGCAAACTACGCTTATAATCCTGAGACAGAATTGTGATTGTTAAGACACCAGCCTGTAACCTCTTAATAATAGCAATTGATATAGCACCATGGAGCATATGTGATGCTTTACACCATAAAGTAAAATATTGAATCTGAACTCGGAGGAAACGATGCACAGAAAAATGTCACAGATCCTTGCACAGAGGATTTCCTTCCCTCCTGATCCCAAGCAAGGGAAGCATTCCTTAGAGGCGATCAGAGGTGGGATTCAGCAGGTTCTGACCAGTTCTGGAGAACCAGTAGTAGAAATTTTGAGTCGTTCAGAGAACCGGCCAATGCCACCTCTGTCTGGCCCCGCCCCCATCTCTTCTCTGCCTCCCATTGAGTTCCAGCTGATCCGCTGGGTCTTTTTTTTGTTGTTGCCCTGCACAGGAGAACGGAGCTGGAAAGCAGGTTAGCGGGGTGGGGAGGGAAGGGGTTTTGCAGTATCCTTCCCCTGCCACGCCCACCAAGCCACGCTCACAGAACCGGTAGTAAAAAAATTTGAATCCCACCACCGGAGCTGACATTCATATTTCAAGAAACACAGCCTATAAGGCAGAGTTACGCATCTGTGTTCCAGTTGAACTAAGGAGCATCCAATGGGACTTGAAACCAATTTGTTTCTGCAGAACCATTTCTCTAGCTCATAGGAGATGTTCCTCTTTCTGCCTGTTTTTTTTTTTAATTATTATTATTATCCCACCTTTTTACTATTTTTAGAAATTACTCAAGGGTGGTGAACAGATCTAGCATTCTTCCTTCTTCCTATTTTCCCCACAACAACAATTCCGTGAGGTGAGTTTGGCTGAGAGAGGGACTGGTCCAAAGTCATCCAGCTGGCTTTCATGCCTAAAGTGGGACTAGAACTCACTGTCTCCTGGTGATTCACTGAAAGTCACCCAGCTGGTTTCCTCACCTAAGGAGGGACTAGAACTCACCATCTCCTGGTGATTGGTTCAAAGTCACCCAGCTCACTTTTATCCTTAAGGAAGGACTAGAACTCACCGTCTCTTGGTGATCCACCAAAACTCACCCAGTTGGTTTCCTCACCTAAGGCAGGACTAGAACTCGCAGTCTCCTGGTTTTTAGCCTGATGCCTTCACCACTAGACCAGATTGGCTCTCTCTTTCATTACTGGTCCAAGATATTATTCTGATCGAAGCAAACACATATCCTGGCTTTTGGGGTCAGTACACAGTGGTGATATTTTAAGTTAAAATACTGGGGAAATGGTTCTTCTCCTCCCACTCCCCTGAGTCTGGTCTCCATGGGTGTCATTCCAGACACTCATTGCTTGACCAGCAGAACTCAAGAGCCATTCTCTTTCCATGCCCATTTCCTCCTTCCCATGTCCTCCCTTGCCTCTTGCCACATTCATTCTACTGCCGAGAGTTTCTCTCCCAGTCAGGTGAATATCTTGAGTTTGCCGTTCAATCACGCCAACTCAACCGTTGGCCAAGACGCCCGCCTTGTACACTGCTATTCTGGCAATCTTTTTTTTTTTTTAAAGATGCCTTTTGTATCTAAAAACTGTTTAGGATGGGCTCCAGAATCATCAGCATCATTTAGCCGTATTGATAAAAGGCACCAAGCATGCATCTAAATTGTTTGCTTATGCAGGTAGTCCTTGAAAAAACAACTGATCACTTCGTGACCCGCTGAAGTCACAACCGACCCAAAAAAGGGGACTCGCGAACCAGATTCAACATTTTTTGAGTGTTGGAACCACCCTTCGGTCTTCAGAGGTTGGCAACATCTCGCTGTATTTACAGTTATTTATAGCGTCCCTCAGTCATGTCACCGTAAGGGTTTGGCTGAAAATGGGTACTTCCGTTTTTTTGGACAAAAATTTCTCACGAGGGAACCATGGGTCCACTTAATGACAGTGGCTTCTGCTTAACAACTGCCACATTTGCTATATGACTACAGCTTTCATGACTGTTATGACATGTGACCGTAATGGACAAGTTCCTTTATGGTCATCTGTGAAGGACTATCTGGAAGGCAGCTGAGAAAAGAAAGAGAGGAAAGAGCAAGAAAGAATTAAATGCACATTGGAGCAGAATTAGAGAAATGTGGCAGAACCCCCCTTGAAAAAGATGCGTCTCCAATCTAGGGGAAATGTTCTGTTTTACTCCAAGAGTAACTACTCCTTGTAGCCCAGGGAAGCAGGATGCCGGAACCTTTGAACAGTCTTGTTGCAAAACGTCGAGAAATCATACCAAATCTGAGAAAAGTCCTTCCGATTAGTTGTTTAGAAAGATGTAGTAGACTCGATGGCTTGGAAAAATAAAAATAAAAAAGTCTGTTGTCTGATTGTAGGTTTAAGTCCCTTCTTGTCTTTTCCAGTGGAATTTCCTCCCCTATCCCAAAATAGCAGCATTAGACAAAATTAAAATGACATCCATCTGCCCCCAATTTATCCTCTGTTAAGTCTG